CTATGCACCCAGTATTTCTAGCTTCATGAACCACCTTGGACCTCGAACATGCACCACGCAAGGAAAAGTTTGCATTCAGCAGAACCCAACACCAGGAAGTCTGTGTAATTAGAAATGTAATAATCAATACGGAACATTTCTCGATCCATACTTCTGTCATCCGACCTTCTGACATCCCGGCATCTTTGGGGAGTAATTTTGTTTGAGGCGTGACGAGGTATTAACACTGCCGAGATCAATACAGCAGGGACTGTGACATGGGGAAATGTGACAGAAAAACTTACTGAGTTAAACACATCAACTTTTCATTGGAAAACACAACTCCGTGAATTATTCATAGTTGGTAGGAATTCACTGAAGGAAAATATGTATATTTTTGCTCTATTTCTTCTTTTTCTCCACGCAAATAAGGTTAATGACCTGGACCAGATGACTGTCATTATATGGTTAATGGTGATGTAGAAGACACCCTGAAGACACATTATGTAGCAAGTGGCAAGACAGAGTTTGAGGGGCTTTTTTTTTCTTTCCTCAGGAGTATGAAACTTGCCATTTAAGGTCATTGACCTCATCAAGGGACACTGAAAGCACCTTGTCACAGCAACAAATTCTTATACGCTACAAATCAGCATAAAATCAAGCTCCAAAACATCTAACGTTAGGATGAATTCTATAACACAGAGACTCCCTGACGCAAAACTGACTGCAACTCGTCCACCTCTGTTGAAAGAAATAAAGGAACAACACTCTGCTACATTCAAGACCCTTTGAAGAGCAGAGTGGTATACTGATGCCCTCTGCTGATGTAATCCTGCACTGCAGCAGCAACCTTTTAAAACACACAGTGCAAATGCTTCAGGAAATGTTTGTACTTTATGTGAACCAATAAATAGATCACATTGATCACATAGTAATAGTAAGAGAGGTCTCATGATGAGTATGTGTCATTTTGTCTTTTAAGTTCTATACCATTAATATCTATTTGACTTGATAAAAGTGGAATGAAGTATCTTGCACCAACATGGACCAGTGTGACGAATTTCAAACTCAGATTCATAGCATGCATACCAATCTAGCTGACGACCTTGAACTACTGGTATGTGCTGTGGTTCTTCATATAGGTATGACGATCTTGAGGATTCAAGAACACCCCCAAGATGGCACCATTAAGTTTACAGGTTAAGTCTTCACATTTTCCGCCGGAGTCGGCTTTAGTCTCCATTCCGGGGGAGGTCCTTTAGGAGGTGCTGGGATGGGAAGAATTTATGAGGTTTCCGACTTTCAGGTCTCTTTTACAGTTTGGTACAGACAGGCTGGAGACAGAGACTTACAGGCAAGCTTCAGAGCTGTAAATCACCACAAGAACCCACTTCTATCATATCCAGGACCGTGCCTATCTACATGTAGTTATAACACAATGCCTGAGTGAGTAAACGTCTGGTAGGGACACCCCTAGGAGACAGTCCTTTGTTTAGCACAATGCGCACTTATAAAGATATTAGCATCTGTCCGTTAATTAATTGTGTCCTGCTCTGTAAATTGTCTTGGCTTTGTGCAGTGCTTTTCATATGCATGTCAGTTTTCACACTTTTTTTCTAAAGACATTCTGACAGACACCTCATGAACAATGGAAAACACAACAAGCAAGTCCTCCCCAAAAAGACCCTGTAAAGCCCCTGTTCAGACATTCTTAGAAATGTTTGAAAAATGTCCAGAATTTTCGAGAATGTCCAAAAAGGGTCTATTGTCCGTTTAACATTTTATAGACATTTTCGGCTCTACCAGTGTTTAAAGCTCCTGTTCCACATTCATGACCTTCCTCTGAATTTGTTCCCGAAGGTTCAGCTGACGTTTGGGAGCACTCTGACAAGATTTAGGCCACGTCTACCTTCCTATACAAATCAAAATTAATTTGAGTTAAATCTTAGTACAATTTAACTGCAGAACACACCCCAAACACTGATGACTTACAGCCAAATACTGCCAGCCATGTTTGAATTGTAAGAACAACACAAAAATGTTTTAAACGTTTTGGAACATTTAACTGGCGCAGCTGTTGTAGCCAGGTAGTAGCCAAATTCATCGAACACCAGCTGACTTTGCACCACCTTCTCCTGACCATGGCTGGGGGGGGGGTGTTTGGCTAGTGTTGGAGAGGCCAAATCGTGAATGTGTGATGGGGGCTTTAGGGTTAGGATCTGGCATGGTTCTGGATTATAAGTCTCTACATCCAAGAGTGTATCTTTTGCCCTGCAAACCAGCAAACCATAATAATTACGTATATGTTTAAATACAACCTAACTCTTCAGTGCTAGGATCTGAAATACTGTGACTATTATCTGAACAGAAACTCACATAACTTACTTTCACATCTTTTCACTTTATTACAAACATACAAAAAACACAGGGGAAACCCATACATGATGTTGCATGTAGACCTTGATAAGACAGCCCATCATCAGGTAGAAGGTGAAAAAAAGAAGAGAGAGACATAAAAAGCAAACCAAGGTCAACTTAATCACAACAGAAGAAGACAGGACATTCTGTGACATGATGAGCAGATACATGTAACAAGTGGTTTAGCAGAGTGTGTGCACACAATACACAGATACACAGGCAACTTAGGCCACACTAGTTTAATTTGCCCATTTTGGGGTTAAAAAGAAATAAATGTAATGAACCGAATGATTAAATAGAGTATGAGGGGAAGTCTGTATATATATGAGGATGAAGGCAATAAATTACTGTGGCCTAACGTGTGTTTCCTGACAGAAATGTGGACAACAAGCTTAAAAAGGACACAAATAATCCTACAGTCTGACCTGATTGTCTGATAGTTGTTTTGCTGTTGGATTGCTGTGGAAATATTAATTTGTGATTGTGTAGATTTACACTGAAAACTAGTCTTAATAACAAAATAAATATTCTGAATCAGATTAAGAAAAGTATACGTTATGGTCAGGTGGTAAATCTACCTGAGTAAGACATTGTACAGTTATAATTTATATTACAGTAACTGTACAATGTCTTACTCAGGTAGATTTACCACTTAAATAATTATATCAATAAAATAAACCCTGAAAACAAAGAGAAGTACATCACATGTACATCGTGTGCACATTATGTAATACTAGCAATACAGAAAATCGTTTTTTTAGCTAAATTCTTGGATTGACTAAAATTAACAACAAAACAAAACTAGCATCATTTCACTAGGTTCAAAATATTTCCGAATTGCAGCAGTTTAAAACATTTTTTTTTTGTTTTTCAATTAAAAACTGTTCACCCAACAGTGCTTTTCAACCTTTATAATACTCCTTTTAAAAGACACATCATGTGACTTCTTCAACCTTTACTGTGCATAGCACATTCAACTTGGTAGAATGTACTGCACCTACCCTAAACCCGGATTTTTCAGTTTTCCTTGGATGTCTGGTCAACATTGCATCAGTATTTTGCCTGTTGCAGACAAAATATTTTTTGACACTGTTGAACATTTGAAAACTATAAATGGCACGGGATGTCATCCTTAAAAAAAGACATTCTGCTGAAGTGCTATATGTGAAATAAATTATGGGCAGGTGCAGTACGTTCTGCCAACATGCCACTGTGCATAGAGCTAAACTTGGAAGAAACAAATCATACGCTTCTTGGTTTCTTTTTGTACTGTCCTTCTGTGTCCTCCCCAAGGCTCTGATTTGCGCAGTGCACAGTTCACTTTATCCACAAAAGTCACATGATGTCCACCAATATATTAGCTCCATTGTATCATCAACACAAAGTTCCATATTGTGATTATATATTACATATAAGTCTTTTCAACACCCCTAAAGCTAGTTAGTCTATTTCACTCCATTTCATTCCCGTGTTTTTCTTTTTCACACAGTCTCTTTTTCATCATACTTGTCTCCACTCCCTTCATGTCTTGATTTTTTAAAGGCACTTTTCAAAGCTTTTCTTTCATAATTGTCACTGCACACTATTTATTTCCACAAAAATAAACTTTCCAACACCAGTCAAAGCTCCCTCCTTTTTCCATCTCCCCTCAAACCCCTTTTCCAAAAGTTCCACAATCCTTTCCTTTGCGACATTTGCTTTCCACACTTCAAAACTTATCTAGTTGCTAAAAGATTTATTTATTTATATGACAAATATATGCTACAGACTTATCAACCCATTCTCAACTCCTAATATTCTAAACCAGCTCACACCCAGAACCTTTTGGCTTCATCATACAAACAGTCATGTTTGTAAGTTCTTTCTTCTTCCTCTTAAAAAGTGTAATTTGTCTAGGTTATGTGATAATACTTGTTATACTTGAAGCATTCACTTCAACAAGAAAAGTGCTTAATGTAATGTATAACTACTTTCATAACTTCTTTCAACCAAAAGTCATTTTCTGGACTTCCTTCCCTTGTCATACATATACCTATGCTATGAGTTTATTTTTCTGTCGTAAATACATTCTTACAGGCCTCCATAATGATAGCGACATCACCCTCTTGTTCTTCCTTTCTTACTGTCAGAGAAACAAACCTTTTATCAAGATTGTTCCAATCTACTCCCCATGTAGAACATTCTTGGGCTATTTCAAATGCTTCAAATGATGACAAAAAGGTGCAAAGAAATGTCAGTAAAAATGTCAATACCTGATTTCTACCAGATTTCCTCATTCAAAATACCTGTGTGAAACCAGTTATATGGCAAAAAACAATGAACAATGTAGCATTGAGGATGCCACTACGGAATAACTTTTCACTACTGGCTAACTACAAAATCACTAGGGAATTTTCAGCCGAATGGCTGTTTCATTATCAGTGTGCTAAAGGTTAACCTTTTCCCTGCTGCCCAGCCCAGTAATCAACTGAGAAATGGTATACATAGCCAAACGGCTGCTTTGGTTCACTAAAGGTTAAATCAGAAGTGAAATGAAGGATGACAAAAGTTTTTGCCTTCCTTAAATAAATTACTATGATGATGTTGTTGATAAAAATAACCGATTATGTTCGTCACCAACGACTGCAAATTTTTTTTGCCCAGAGAAAAACTCATCATCATCAGAGAAAAACTTAATCACATGAACACTGTTCATGTACAGTCATGTACATGTAGTATGCAACAAATGTAAAAACTTGAACTGTATTGAAAAGAACTGAACAAACACCGTTCTTAAATCCAAGTTTTAAAAGTTTAACCCTACCAAAAACTTAACTGCTCAAATACCATAATTATTGATTACTACTACTACTACTTACCAGTAGCAACAGTATGCAACAAATTCCATGAAACTTGAACTGAACTGAACAGAACCAATATATTTGTCCCACCTACCTACTACTGCAACACTTTTCCACACATCTACATGGCTTTAGTAGTTCTGTTTGTAATGTCAGCTCCGGATGGACTTTCTGGTGTCCGAACTATAATTTTTCCCACAAAAAATCTATAAAAGGCAAAGTCTTCATTTCTTCGCCCGTTTTTGGAGAAGAGTTTGTGTTTGTGGGTTACAGTTGGAACTTGTCCTTACTGCCGCCTGTCCTGACAAGCTGGCTGAAGTACAGCACGGTGTGTTCGTCCGTGGTGGTGACGACCGGGTGCCCGTCGGGCGTCATGTCGAAGTCGTAGAACATCTTCTTCATTCCCTGAGAGGTGACGAGGGTGGAGCCGTCTGGGCGGAACACGGTGATGTGGAAGTAGCCGTAGCTGTGGTGCAGGGCCACGATGTTCCCGTTTGTGTCCACGCACAGCCGCACAGGCGAGTACCCGAAACCCTTCACTGGAATCTGCTTCAGGAAGTTCCCCCGACGGTCAAAGATCTTGATGCTGTGAGGGTTGCGGTCCGCCACAATGACATCACCTATTAAAGGAAGGGAGGAAGGATATACATATAGTATAGAATACTACACTGTACCCAATGTTCCAGCCTGACCCATTATTCCAGCCTGACCTGTGAAAAACACCCCTATCGAATTTTATCTTGGCTCAGCTATGACATAAAAAAGTCATTACATCTAATCCACTGCTTTGAAACTTGAATCAACCAAATCATTCAAACAATTCTCCTCTCATACATCCCTGAAAACACCCAGCTATCATGGTAAAGCAAAGGCTAAAATGAAAAACGAGAAATCGAACTGTGAACCTCTTTAACATTGTTGTAAATTTCTCACTGGTTATGTGCCTATTCCACTGTCATTTTGTCCTAGCCTGAGGGGAGACCATTTTTACCTCCAATTTGACCTCCATTTTGTCAGTCTGCGGTTACGCCATTTCCCCCTTACTTCCTGTTACATGTATTTACTATATTCAAAGTAATTATGAACATACAAGAACAAACAGACAAACCCAATGAAAACAAATCCCCAGTACCCTGAGGCAACAAACAAACAAACAAACCTGTCCACATAGTGGCGACACAGGTGGGGAGCCTCAGCTGTTTGTACAGGTCTAGCTTCTGCAGCAGGTTTCCGTGTTGGTTAAAGACGTGAATACACTTGGCATTGTGGTCCAGAACCAACACCTGTCCCTCGTGACTAACCGCAATGTCCTTCACTCCCTTTATGTGTGCCACGCTAAACTTTCCCAAGTAATCTCCGTTCGGGGCGAAGATCTGGACTCTGCGGTTTCCCGGATCATTCACCGCGATGTTGCCGTCGGGAGTTATCGCGAGGTGGTTCGGGTAGACCAAACAGCCATCGAACTTCCCTTCCCGGCCAAACTGGAACTTGAAGTTGCCGCGACTGTCGAAGACCTGGATCCGGTGGTTGCCCTGGTCGGCGACGTACATGTCCCCGTACATGCTGACCACGATGCCGCCTGTCTGGTTGAAGAGGCCGGGCGACTGGCCGTAACCGCCCAGCTGGTACTCCAGAGACATGCTGATGCTGTGCGAGAAGTTGTGGCCCTTGTTGTACCCGCCATTCTGGTACGGCTGCTTCCGCTGCATCCCCGTCGGAGCTCTAGGTGGGGGGCGGGGAGGAAGGTCTGGGTTTGGCGAACCCCGCCCTCCTCTGAAGGACCCAGTCGGTGAGTTTGCCTTGTACCGGTTCCCGTTGTTGTCTCCGACCACTGGGATGAGGTCGTCGACCTGGTTCGAGTCCTTGAGGATGAAGGTTTGGCGCCGGTCGTCCGGGATACGAGACTTGGAACCCGTCCTTCTCTCCACGCCTTCCCCGTCAACGTCACTGTCGTCCTGAGGCGGGATGACGATCTCCTCCGGAGTGTCGTGGATGGAGAAAGTTCTGGTTTTCTCAAACGGCAGCCGCCCTGCTCCCTTGGGGGGCAGCTCTGGCGCCGCCTCTGCACCACCGGCATTGCTGACCTCTCCTGCAACCTTTGACCCCGACTTTACGCCCCCTGAACCGTCGCTGAACCCTGACTCTGAGTAGTACGACGACCCACGGGAGGGGCTGTTTTCGTTGTCGTTCGGACTGGCTTCTCCGCTAGTCGGCGACGGCTCTGTCTGAAGCTCATCGCTCTTCAACGACCCAACTGATCCCTTTTCGATGAGCTCCAGAAGATCGGCGTTCACCGCGAACTGTATCTCAGCCTTGTGCTGGGGGTTAAAGGTCAGGAGGGATTGCAGCTGCCTCTCCACCTGACCCTGGAGCGAAAGGATTTCAACATGGCTGCCCTGACGGAGAAGACTCTCCGTGAACTTGCACCCGTGGTTGATCTTGTCCACGGTGTCCTGGATGTGTGACTGCAGCTGATTGAGAGACTCCTGCTTCCCGGCCATCCAGTCGTTCAGTTCCTCCACCAGCTCTTCCTTGCACTGCTCCAGGACAGTCTTCAGGTCAGCGATGGTCTCGTTAATCTGCTGTATGACCTCCTCACCTTGCTTCTCAATCTGTGTGGCGGAATCCTGTACAGTAGTAGTAATAGTTGACAGATTGATAAATCATGTTTACATGTCATTCACCTGTTCATCTTACATGGTACCATCATAAAATGGTTCTAGAATCCAGTATTTGTATTTTCATCTGTGGCACAACTCAACTAGCGCACGAGAATCACATCTGAATTACTCTTTGGAACCCCATGTGATATGGATGTTATCACACAGCCAGAACACCTGTATTCAGGGTTATCACAGCCCAGGTATGACATAAACCAAGGTATCTTGTAACTAAATATATTTCGTACAAAAGTCATGTAGTTAAGATTAGGAGGTCGGATATAACAAGATTAGGAGGCCAGATATAACAATACAAACAACATTTAAAATCTGGCAAGTGTAATACTGTCACAGGAAGTCTGATATCCATTGCACAATCAATGGTTAGGCAAGCAAGCCATAAAGGAACAGCACTATTTCTACACATTTTTGTATACCTGTAAGGACGCCTGTTTTTTCTTCAGACTCTCTGCCTTATCCATGCTCTGTTCGACCAGGGCCTGTAACCCATTGCCGAGGGCAACGGTCTGGTCGGTGAGGTAGACGTAGTTGTGGGAGGTGATGGCGTGGTCTAACACGGTACACTCCTTACAGATGGGCACCTGGCAGGAGTTACAGTAGAACTTGAGCGGCTCCCCCTGGTGGGTGCTGCAGAACACCGGCCTCTGCAGGGCACTACGGCCTGCAGTACCCTGCAGCTCCTCCAGGGGGACCACGTGGTGGTTCTGGAAGCACAGCATCCAGTTGTGTGCTGACACGCAGTTGGGGCAGATGTAGCTGGCGCACTCCATGCACCGGGACACCGCGGCGGATTTACTTGTACAAGTGGTGCAGACAATGTTAGCAGAGCTCAGGAGGATATTTTCTAGTGTATTCCTGGCCACGAAGTCATCGGGGAGGCCCGAGAGTCCTTGTGAGGGGAGGGATGTCTCCTGTTCGCAGACGTCACACGTGAGGATCGTCCCGGGCTCCTTCTGGAGCTGCTTGTCCAGGCAGGCTTGGCAGAAGGAGTGCAGACAGGACAGGACTTTGGGTTTCTTGTAGTGCTGCTCACACAGCGGACACGTCAGGCTCATGTCACTGGTGGTGGACGGGCTGCTCCGCTCGGTCGCTGACGCCATCTTGAAATTGCTACAGTATGAGAGATAACACACAGTTAAGAAGTAAAACATTTCAAAAACAATTCAAGTGAAACATTTTTAAAGACATGTTGTGAATTTGTTTTGTTATTTGTTGTGAATTTCTCAAAGATGCCTGTCCTGTGGGCAGACCATTTTGACCTCCAGTTTGACCTTCCTGTCAGTCTGCAATTTCATCATTTCTTCCCTCACTTCCTGTAACTCTACAGCATTCAAATACAGTTGTGTATAATATTGCTACTAACAACAAAATTCTATACTGCAATTACTTATAGAAACCAAAAGCTCAAGAGCCCACAATACCTTAGAAAAGCATGTCGGCATGACGCACCGCTTCTGTGGGAAACCCATAACGTATTGTGCACAGCACTTTGGCAGAACATCTTATTTAAGGTCGTGCTTGCATATTTAAGAACGACATCCTCTCTATAGTTTTGAAACGTTGTGTCAGAAAAGATGTCGGCTGCAATAGTCAAAATTCTGATGCAACGATGACCACACAGCTAAATTGAAAACCGTGAAAAATCTGGGTTTCATGCAGGCACAGTATGTTCTGCCTACGTGCTCCAGAGACATGTTATATCCTTGAGTCATTGATACTGGAATGATACGGCTAATTTAACTTCAGGTATGTAACAAGCACTCAGGTTATGTCCATTAATGTTATTGCAGCTGGACAGAGACGAGAGACTTGTCCCACTTAACACTTGAACTGAAAGGTCCCCTGAATCTCTGACCTCTGTAACACAATTTAGTTTTCTATTTCAATTTATGTCTATCATTTCCTCAGCACTGTTTGGTATGTGGTATAATCAGGTATTACTGGGAAGTTATTCTTATGGACAATTTTATGAGCATGTTGACAGAACATACTGTGCCTGTGCAAAACCTGTAAGGTATTGCGCATAGCACTTATGTCTTCTTTAAGGTAGCATTTGCAAACTTTGACATCCTGTGTATGGTTTTCAAATGTTGTGTCTGCAACAGGCAAAATCATAATAAAGAAATGTGCAACATCCAACGAAAAATCCATGAAAAATCTGGGTTTCGGTTTAGTTTTATGGAAGGTGCACCCAACCTAAAAAATTGGGTGCACAAAAAGATTTGGGGGTCCACCATATAAAATAAAATAGACAGAATGTCATCAAAAACTGTTTCATTTCTAAAGAAAAGTAGTATGAGAAGGATTTCATTATTTTTCTGACACGTAGATGTTAAGAATATGCTATATACTACTATGCACTTAATATCTTGACATACGTAAACCTACAGAAAAAAATTGGGTGAACAGCTCCAAATTTGGGTGCACGCACCCAGTATTTTGAGCCCTGTATGGAACATATTATCAAATTGTTATGACCAAAGGGGCCATTTGTGTCCATGTTGGTAATCATATGGCATACATTTTTCACCAAGACAATTAAACAAATTTTTTCTTCACAAATGCCAATAATAGTTGACAATAGAAATCACAGTACTATCAACATTGGCATGTTGTGTATAAACAAGTTACTTTACCCTATTGCACATGAAGTATGACACTACATTACTGTAACTGGAAATAATGGTTTATGACATTAAGTAATAGTATCATAGTTTGATTTTAAAAGGAGGTATAGTAGCATGTTGACAGAACGTACTGCCCCTACATGAAACCTGTAATGGATAGAATTTATCATTTATTAAGATTATATATGGGTTAAGTTAAGGATGTCATCCCGTCTATAGTTTCAAATGTTGTGTCAGAATAGACATTGTCTGCAACAGGCATAATTGATGCAATGTTGAACAAACATCCGACCATGAAAAATACATGTTTTACACAGGCGCAGTACATTCTGCCAACATGCTACCAGTTGCTAGGTGTACAGTATGCCTTGATTTGGCTTGTATCATAAATAACATGTATGTCAGACATAGGATTATCTAATGAACCTTAAGGTGAAAGATCACAGTAAAAAAGACTGCACAACAGCCATGCTTCCCTGAAGTCTGTCGCTTACAATTACCTACACAATCATGTAACTCACAACATCTCTACTGTAATACAAAAGGCAGGCCTGCAAAAAGTCTGTGACTATACGGTCTAACTATATACATGTACATTGTGAGAACAAATGATACAACAGGATAAACACTCACAGAATCTCCCTGCTAAATGTTCATCCTATGAGGCTATGCATGTCTGTGCAGGAAGAAGGGGCATGTGAGCCAAGGCTAAATATAGCTGTCCTGTCAGATAGTTTACAGCAGCATGGGTAGTGGCTATGTATAGCCTCCGAATCAGCCTCTGGGCGCCTTTTAGTACTAGCCTGGGTGCCAACCATTGGATGTACTTACTGCCCGCTCATAGTTATTATGGTAGCCAGTGTCAACCATAGGAGCTGGCGGTAACTTCCAAAGTTGGCACACAGGTTATCTTAACATATGAGGAATCAACTTTATTAATAGGCAAGTGGTGCCGCAGTAGCTAGCTATGTTACACTGACGACACTTTACACCCAATCTTTGCAAATCTAACTGCAGGAGATTTTAAAGCTTAATTTAGTGATGAATGATGATGGTGGCAACGAGTTCCTGGAAAATTTTTTAACACCTCAATTCTTGGTTGACAACTCGGATATTTCAAGGCATGACTGTTTAAGTGCCTTTCCCAAGGACACAACAACTAGCCCGGAATGCTAGGAATCAAACCTGTGACCTCTTGATCCCGTGTCGCCCTGTTATCATCAAATATCAAAAGGTAGCCTTGGTGCTAGACTGTTGCCAGGGCCGGTATACATGTACTACAGCCTAGCTTCTCAGCTCTAGGGCCAACATGTCCCCAAGGAAAATTGACCACAGACACCCTCAGGTTGCAGGGCTCAAAATACTGGGTGCACCTTACAGTGCAGGTAAAATTGGAGCTGTGCAGGTATTTCTGATGTCTACCCGCACCTAACCTGCACTGGTCCATGTACTGGGTTTATATCCATAATTGCATTGACTGTTAGTGTTACCACCTTTGATGTATAAAAGAAATAACGATAATAGCTTTTGAACACTTTTTAGTATAATCCATACTTCTTAAAGTCTGAGTGGTGCAGGTAAAATATGTCTGGTGCGGGTAAGTTTCAAAGTTAGCTGCACTGGTAGTTTCCCACACAAGTGCAGGTATGCCTGAAAACAGTATTTCAAGCACTGGTTTGACTCAGGATCTAACTGGGGGCTGGCCTGTATACTGCGGCCCTGAGAACAGTCAGGCATCCAGGCCTGCCCAGAGCCTGATTTGGAGGCTACTATCACCAGCCAGGACAGCTGTCAGACAGGGTGGAGCAGATCGTTACAAGTATGTTTACAGTGCCCACAGTCAGCCACCGATTAAATCTCTAAAGATACGCTAAATGTCTTAACATTGCCGATAGAGCTGCCGCAATGTTTATTAGGCCACACCAATTTAATTTGTTGGTTCTCGGATTCGCCTCTTTGTTTTTTTCTGATTTGCAAAAAAAAAAAAAATTTGATTCTGGTCCTGAATCAACTGAAAAATGCTCATGTTTTGCCCCCAACAGTTGAGGAAAGTCCTTTTCTTCCTAGTTGTTACAGTTTTCCCATCTATCATTGCAGTGGTTTGATTAAAAGTTCAAAATTCAATGTTTAAATTTTAACCCAGCCTTTTGTGTTGACTTCATGGCTCATTCCGTAGCATTTAAGCCTATAATGGGATGCCTAGACCTGTTTTTATTTTTATTTTTTTTCGCCCTGTCGCTTCATATTTTTTCTGAAAAAATCCGAGAACCAACAAATTAAATTGGTGTGGCCTTACATGTGTAAACTCCAATGATAGTGATAAGGCAGGGCTTGATGTTCATTTTTCCAAATAGGTGCATCAATGAACCTAAAAAATGAGGTGCAACAAGTAGGGAAAAAATGGTCAATAGAAAATAAGTACCTAGCTTCGGTTACCAGCATCTTCTTGATTAATACATAGAATGAGGTCCTACGTATACGTTTGAGAAGAGCCACAACTTGAGCATGTTAAAGATCCCAAAACATGGGTGAGGGCCTGCAAGGGGGGGTAGTGATTACGAATTACGCAAAATTTTCGCCGCCTATTACGAATTACGTTAAAGTCTCAGAGCTGATTACGACTTTACGATTTGCGGCTAATGTCCAATTACGAATTATGTTGATTTTTGCGGAGGCTGCCTACGAATTACGAAGTCTAAAACGGCCTGATTACGCCTTACGAAAAAGGGCTTGCAGGCCCTCATGGCCGGGTCCTTCACGGTGTGAGTGGTTCAAACCTTCTGGTCCTACACAGCTTGTACTTACAGTGTGCAAAACTGGTGTGGTATGCTTAAGGGGGTTTACCAGGGGGGTTATGCAAAACAAACAAACAATTAAAGATTGGCATAATTTCAGAGTTGATGGGCACAAAGTGAAGAAATCCTAACAATGATCTAGTACTTCAGTACTTTACATATTTCAACATATGTAAACCCTCATACAAAGTCAACAATTAACATTCTAAGAAGGCCTGCATGAGGGGGTCCCGACAACGCTTTACGCTAAATTCACGCAAAATTCAGGAAGCCTCCCCATTACATTTTACGATAAATTCCGGGTAGCTACAACGCAATACGTAGAAATGGCCAATTACGCTCTACCTTGGTCCCCCTACACTCTACATAGAATCTGAATTAAAAGGGCCGATTACACTCTACAGAAAAGGGCATGCAGGCCCCCTTCTAAGAGGACAGTTGGCTACATTTAGAACTTACAGGTGATTAGCTTAACTTGTTCAGGTACAGGTAACTGTTATAGGCCTGGGTCTGCTGTACATGTGTTTTTGTAATGTTACTGTAAAACTAGTTTAGGTATACAGTTCTGCTATTGTGAGCAAGATGATGTCGGAAGGCGAGGTATCATTTTCTTGCTCGTCTATCGATAGGACAATATTGTCAGACAGAAGAACGGAACGATTTTTCGCCTTCCAACATCTGCTTGAAAACGAACGTTTGGAGTTCTCCACAGTGGCAACTCTGTTGCTAGTCGCTAGGCGGAGCTAATACCGTGACTTCAAAGTTTGATTCGGCAGACCATATGGGAGTAAAAACACAACGTTAGCCTCTGTTTAAAGTGCTCCATGTAACGGCCCTCTGGGGTTCCTCTCAACATCAAATGCTGGGTTTACGGCAAAATTAGCTGCGAGGGCCTCAAACTTACGCCATGCATCTAGTTGACACCTAGCCTAGCCCCTAAAACTAACCGTCTAGTGTATTAAATGTTAGGAGTACAAGTCCACGCAACGGTTTCATAGCAAAACTTGTTTGAACAAGATATATCGACAAATCCTGCAATGTTTTTGAGAACGTCATACATACCGGAATGTGCAGATAAAATCGCTTTCCTTTGCACAATTTTGGCGTGAAAAACTCGTACTAACCAACACCCTCAGATTGACAGGAAAAGCAGTTTATAATTTCAATAATTCAGTGCCTAATAAATAAGAACATTATTATCTATAACATAAGCTATATTCGACTTCAAGTACACAAAAAACATATTTTTCTCTTAATTTATTAAAATGTATCATTTGCTATTTTACTAGACAAAGATTTTTCTTTTTTCACAGGGAATATATTAAGGCATACTTCCAAATCTCACTAGACACCTCTCAGCATCGCCATTGAATCCAGGCACGAGGAAGCTGGGCTGCTGGCAGACGAAAATTTCCGGAATTCTTCTCACATATTTTCCTGAATTTGTACCGATGTGTCGGCTTGACAGGCTTTCTGGTAGTATAGCCTTGACAGCCGGGTCTTATGTTTCATTAGGCACCGCCTTTTTGGTGCGAACGAGACGCTATATTTGTGTACTATGCCTCGGGCTTTTTGAAAGCGAAGCCCTGTTTACACCGAAATGAGCAGTAAGACAGGGTTAGTAAAGCGGCATATGTACAGTGACGATAGATGAAATTCCGCTGAAAACTGTTACATCATAATCCCTGTGTTCCGAACGACTTACTAAACAGCGAGGAAGAATTTGTTTTACCCAAACCAAAGTCTGAAGCAAGGTATATCGCTTCAAAGTTCAGCGTTTTAGCAGACGTCTTTTCAAGCCGTTTTGGTTCCGGGTCAGAGTTTAAATCTAAGTAACGTTAAGTCATCCGGGCGCAGTAAATCGCCGGCTGCTCGGCGGTTTTCAAAGCTCCTTGCACATGTACATAAAACAGAACAAGCTAATTTAGTACAGGAAACTAAATAAATATGAAAAAGGATGGGTAAGAATGTGTAAGGATTGGTAGCATGGGCAAGAGTTACGGTAAGGATCGGATGGGTAAGAATGTGTAAGGATGGGTAAGAATGTGTAAGGATGGGTAAGAATGTGTAAGGATGGGTAAGATTGTGTGAGGATGGGTAGGATGCCGGTAACTTGAACTGGGTATGTGTGAGGATCGGGGGAGGATCATCAAGAAGGTGTAAGGATGGGGTAGAATGAGTGCTTTTACTAATCTCCAAGCAGATGTTTCGGTGGCTGCAAAACAGTATCAAATTGGCCAGACAGTATCAAATTGGCCAGACAGTATCCAACA